AGTGCTGTTATGTCATTTGATCGCTTCAACAACTGGTGCAGAAAGACTTTGGAACCGCGGAAAACGCAGCCGCACTGACCCGCCCCGACAGTCCGTAATGATGAGGAGTATACACTCCTTATCCCTGAGACGGAGTAGGCGTGGCATTTGAACAGGGCATAAAGGGGGGTACTTCTGGGATATTTTGATTTGAGACAACTGTCATCTTGATCTGTGTTGGACAAGGACATAACTGCAACTGTCTCAAAACGAAATTGTCTCATGGAAACTTTGGGCGCAGCCACGTCCGAGTCAGGTACGCAGCAACGCCCTACCGCATCTCAGGGATTCTGAATGTAACGACATGCAATCACGAGATTGCCTTGAAAAATGAGCTCCTTCTTCATGGGAAGAGAAGAACTGGGCTTGCTGGATAGTCAAGGAGTAGACCTAAGAAAGCGTTTACTGGAGCTAGTCATATTTTAAGGCTCTCACTCTCTATAGTCTCTGATGCACTAAGTTGTTAGTAAATGATTATAGTTCATGAGCATTGAAGTAGAAAAAAACAGCTGCTCAGAAGTTTACAGTCTAGGACTAATGTGAGACCACACCTCCTCTCTTATTGCTGAAGTAGTCGTAAATTTAACGCAGAATGAAAAACAATCTGAAAAACAACAAACAACCAGTCAAGAGTAAAGACCACACAGGAGCAGCGAAGAAAACCAGTGATTGCTGATCTCGGGACCAATGTGTAATAAACCTGACCTGGGTGATGACAACTTCATCATCAATTGGCGGACTGATTCCGTAAAGACAAAAGGTTTCGGTCAGGAAGTTAAGAGGTTGGAAGCTAAGAATATTATTAAAGAATGGGTCTCTTAAATGGAGATGCCACCAAGGTTCCGTGCCTGCTGGAAAGGGAAAGGGGACTGCTCATAAGGCTTGGATTCTGCTGGACAAGGGATTTCAGCGCGGTCCAGAGCCAGTGCGGTAGGCAATCTGATTAATCGGAGATGCAGGGCGAAAGGAGGACCTCAGCCGGATCCTAGCCCTTGGGTGATTCCATGCTTTATAAAGATGGCGTGGAGGGGACTTTATTGAAGGTCAGATGACGCGCTGGGGAATTTTCAGCAGCTTTTGGGACCCCCCCCCCAATGGGCTACCCTTTCTTGTAAGCTCCCACATTTGCTACTCTATTCGCTTCCATCGTTGTTTCCTCTAAGGTGCGAATCCTCGCAAAATGAGATTTCACCAAGGCTTGGAGCCTGCAGAAAGGGGACTCTTTTCAAGGCTCGGAGCCTGCTGAAAGGGGGATTTCAGCGCGGTCCAGAGCCAGTGCGGTAGGCGAACTGATTGATCGGAGATCCAGGGCGAAAGGGGGACCGCCGGATCGAGCCCTTGCGAAAGGTGATTCCATGCTTTATAAAGATGGCGTGTGATTCCATGCTTT